AATGCCAGTATATCTTTTTTGAGATGAGGAGACCACATCTGTACGCAGTATTCAAGATATGGGCGTACCATGGACTTATATAAGGGCAACAAGATATTCTCCACCTTATTCTCTATCCCTTTTTAATGATTCCTAACATCCTGTGTGCTTTTTTGACTGCCGCTGCACACTGCGTGGACGTCTTCAGAGAACTATCCACAATGACTCCAAGATCTCTTTCCTGATTAGTTGTAGCTAAATTAGCCCTCATCATATTGTATGTATAGTTGGGGTTATTTTTTCCAATGTGCATTACTTTACGTTTATCCACATTAAATTTAATTTCCCGTTTTGTTGCCCAATCACTTAGTTTTGTGAGATCTTTCTGAGGTTCTTCACAGTCTGCTTTGGTCTTAACTATCTATCTATCTTAGCTAATGAACTCAATGCTTTTTTTGCCTCTGTTTTCACTAACAAGGTCAGCTCCCAGACTGCTACGCTGGGCATCACAAAATGGGGAAGAGATGGACAGCCCTCTGTGGAGACAGAGGTGGTTAGGGACTATTTAGAAAAGCTGGACGTGCACAAGTCCATGGGGCCGGACGAGTTGCATCCGAGAGTGCTGAAGGAACTGGCGGCTGTGATTGCAGAGCCATTGGCCATTATCTTTGAAAAGTCGTGGCGAACCGGGGAAGTCCCGGATGACTGGAAAAAGGCTAATGTAGTGCCAATCTTTAAAAAAGGGAAGAAGGAGGATCCTGGGAACTACAGGCCAGTCAGCCTCACTTCACTCCCTGGAAAAATCATGGAGCAGGTCCTCAAAGAATCAATCCTGAAGCACTTGCATGAGAGGAAAGTGATCAGGAACAGCCAGCATGGATTCACCAAGGGAAGGTCATGCCTGACTAATCTAATCGCCTTCTATGATGAGATTACTGGTTCTGTGGATGAAGGGAAAGCAGTGGATGTATTGTTTCTTGACTTTAGCAAAGCTTTTGACACGGTCTCCCACAGTATTCTTGTCAGCAAGTTAAGGAAGTATGGGCTGGATGAATGCACTACAAGGTGGGTAGAAAGCTGGCTAGATGGTCGGGCTCAACGGGTAGTTATCAATGGCTCCATGTCTAGTTGGCAGCCGGTATCAAGTGGAGTGCCCCAAGGGTCGGTCCTGGGGCCGGTTTTGTTCAATATCTTCATAAATGATCTGGAGGATGGTGTGGATTGCACTCTCAGCAAATTTGCGGATGATACTAAACTGGGAGGAGTGGTAGATACGCTGGAGGGGAGGGATAGGATACAGAAGGACCTAGACAAATTGGAGGATTGGGCCAAAAGAAATCTGATGAGGTTCAATAAGGATAAGTGCAGGGTCCTGCACTTAGGACGGAAGAACCCAATGCACAGCTACAGACTAGGGACCGAATGGCTAGGCAGCAGTTCTGCGGAAAAGGACCTAGGGGTGACAGTGGACGAGAAGCTGGATATGAGTCAACAGTGTGCCCTTGTTGCCAAGAAGGCCAATGGCATTTTGGGATGTATAAGTAGGGGCATAGCGAGCAGATCGAGGGACTTGATCGTCCCCCTCTATTCGACATTGGTGAGGCCTCATCTGGAGTACTGTGTCCAGTTTTGGGCCCCACACTTTAAGAAGGATGTGGATAAATTGGAGAGAGTCCAGCGAAGGGCAACAAAAATGATTAGGGGTCTGGAACACATGAGTTATGAGGAGAGGCTGAGGGAGCTGGGATTGTTTAGCCTGCAGAAGAGAAGAATGAGGGGGGATTTGATAGCTGCTTTCAACTACCTGAAAGGGGGTTCCAAAGAGGATGGCTCTAGACTCTTCTCAATGGTATCAGATGACAGAACGAGGAGTAATGGTCTCAAGCTGCAGTGGGGGAGGTTTAGATTGGATATTAGGAAAAACTTTTTCACTAAGAGGGTGGTGAAACACTGGAATGCGTTACCTAGGGAGGTGGTAGAATCTCCTTCCTTAGAGGTTTTTAAGGTCAGGCCTGACAAAGCCCTGGCTGGGATGATTTAACTGGGAATTGGTCCTGCTTCGAGCAGGGGGTTGGACTAGATGACCTTCTGGGGTCCCTTCCAACCCTTATATTCTATGATTCTATGATCTTGAGCAGTTCAGTATCATCTGCAAACTTTGCCACCTCACTGTTTACCCCTTTCTCCAGATCATTTATGAATAAGTTGAATAGGATTGGTCCTACAACTGACCCTTGAGGCACACCACCAGTTACCCCTCTCCACTCTGAAAATTTACCGTTTATTCCTACCTTTTGTTCCCTGTCTTTTAACCAGTTCTCAATCCATGAAAGGATCTTCCATCTTAGCCCATGACAACATAATTCACGTAAGAGCCTTTGGTGAGGGACCTTGTCAAAGGCTTTCTGGAAATCTAAGTACACTATGTCCACTGGATCCCCCTTGTCCACATGTTTGTTGACCCATTCAAACAACTCTAATAGATTAGTAAGACATGATTTCCCTTTACAGAAACCATGTTGACTTTTGTGCAACAATTTATGTTCTTCTACATGTCTGACAATTTTATTCTTTACTATTGTTTCAATTAATTTTCCCGGTACTGACATTAGACTTACTGGTCTGTAATTGCCAGGATCACCTCTAGAGCCCTTTTAAAATATTGGCATTACATTAGCTATCTTCCAGTCATTGGGTACAGTAGCTGATTTAAAGGACAGGTTACAAACCATAGTTAATAGTTCCGTAATTTCACATTTGAGTTCTTTCAGAACTCTTGGGTGAATGCCATTTGGTCCCGGTGACTTGTTACAGTTAAGTTTATCAATTAATTCCAAAACCTCCTCTAGTGACACTTCAATCTGTGACAATTCCTCAAATTTGTCACCTTCAAAAGACAGCCCAGGTTTGGGAATCTCCCTAACATCCTCAGCCGTGAAGACTGAAGCAAAGAATTCATTTAGTTTCTCCGCAATGACTTTGTCATCTTTAAGTGTTCCTTTTGTATCTCAATCGTCCAGGGGCCTCACTGGTTGTTTAGCAGGCTTCCTGCTTCTGATGTACTTAAAAAACATTTCGTTATTACCAAGAGGCTATGGCTGCATTAGAAACACTATATATGCAGTTGTAGTGTGTCTAGTGAAGACACACTATGCCGATGGGAGAGCGCTTTCCCAGTGGCATAATTACTCCACCTCCAATAGAGGCAGAAGCTATGTTGGCGTAAGAGCATCTCCCACCGACATAGCACCGGTGTGGATAGCACTTAGGTCAGCGTAACTTGCGTTGCTCAGGGGCTGTCTTTTTCACACACCCTGAGTGATGTAAGTTATATTGACTTAAGCGATAGCGTAGACCTGCTGTAAGTGTATTTGAAAATCTGGCCACTGGGGACTGAGGCAGTCCTAAGGTGAGATGGCAGAGGGCTCAGAGACCCCAGAAGTTGGAATTTGCCTTGGGAAGGGGGAGTAGACAGTGAATTTGTCTCACTTGAAAACCTTGGTTATGGGAAGAGTAGCACCATCATTATGTCCCTGAAACTTCTGTTCTGTGGGAGGGGATGTGAAAGGCACAGTCTTTCACACACAGGAGCTAGGGACTGATCCTCCTGATATCTGGGGGACCAATGAAGAATCCTGCACAGAAACCAGCCCCAGTGCTTTAGAGACAGCTGCAGCTTCTACTTCCCAAGGGGCTATGCATCCTTACCCAGCAAGGTCACAGTCTCATAATTCTCCTGCATGACGTCCCTGTAGAGGGCTCTCTGACCCGGGTCCAGCAGAGCCCATTCCTCCTCAGAGAAATACACAGCCACTTCCTCGAAGGTCACCAGCTCCGCTGCAGTCATTTCCCTTCCCTGTCTCTGGAGGGCATGGGACAACCTGGAGCAAAACGTGGGTGTTATTCTGCAGCCTGTCAGCATGAGGAGGGTGATGGGGAAGGTTTCAGTTCCCCCCAGTCCTTTCCCTGCTGACAGACATTCCAGACTCCGCCATTCTGGGAAAATACTTGAGCCAAGATATTTTAAAAAAAACTCTGACGTTAGATCCCAAATCCCTGTCCAGTTCTCTGGGATTCAAATTGCTGAGCCAGCAAACTGTAGCTTATGAAAGTGATGTGTGCTTATGTTCAAGAGAAAGGTGCTAAAATGTAATTAGAACAGAGGTTTGAGGACCTAAATTTAGGCTTGACAATAATGAGACCTGGTAAATTGTGGGCAAAGTGAAGGGAGACAGCCCAGAAGCTGGTTCTTCATCCAACTTTCAGAAATAAATTTACCTCAGAGAGAGACTGTCCACTGCAAAGATCAACATAGGAACTGCCAGAGGGGGTAGAAGCGAGGTTCATCTAGTAACTGAACATGTTATAAGCATCTGAAAAAGGCCTTTTAGATTAAAGTTGTGCACCCAACAGCGTCACTGTGAGCTCCAGCTGTCATGAAAGAGCAGAATCCGAGGAGCCGCTTTGAAGGATCCCCGTGACACTGTCCCCAGGCCCAGGGGAGCACAGTCCCCCAGCAGCGCGGGGACCAGGCAGAGGCAGGAACTGGCTTTTCCTCTCCCTGCGCCTCCCCTTCTCCCCAGGAAAGTCAATCTGCCCGGGGTGCTGCAGGGAATGGGGCTGGGCAGGGCTGAGACCTCCCTCCCCACTGATTGCTCCTGCTGCCCCTGCCAGTCTGTTCCCCATCTCCCTCCTGCCCCCTCCCCTCGGGCTGGGAGACTCGGTCCCTGGTCCGGGGCCTTCGCTCTCCCGGCGTTGGCTCGGCTCCTGCAGGCGCTCAGGGGGGCAGAGACTAGGGAGGGTCAGGGAGGGCAGCAGCTCTGGGACTCGCAGACCCCCGCCCCCCCGGGAGCAGAGCTGGGGCGAGGCGGGGCCGTTGGTGCAGAGTCACTTTCCTGCCCGGCCCCAGCCCCTTCCCCGGGTCTCTCCCCTCACCTGCAGGCTCCGGCTCAGGGGCTGGTTCCAGCCCCCGGAGAAAGTCCCCCCGGCTGGGCCCCGAGGGGCGCTGGGGAAGGGCTCTCCCCGCACACACCCCGCTGGGCAGCAACTGATGAGTCCGGTTCCGGGATCGCAATAGATGGAGGCGGCGGCAGCAGCAGCTTCTGACCCAGGAAGTTCAACCCCGAGCCCGCAGGGCAGAGACGGAGCAGCCGCCTCCCTCCCTTAGCTGTCGCCAGAGCCCGGCAGCGACTGCAGCTCACGAGCCCCCTGCCGTAGCGACCGTGCCGACAGAGGAGCGGCTGAGCCGGCTGCCCCACAGGTGCGGGAACTAGAGCCCCTCCGGCAGCCCTGCGCCGCCCTCGCTCCCGTCTGATTCTGCTGCCCGCTCACTGCAGGCCAGGGATCAAAACGGCGCAAAGGCGTCAAATCCAGGGGGGGATGGATGGGCAGGGTCTGAGAAGGGGTGGAAATTGACTAGCCCTGGGGGGTCAAGCAGCTAGAGGCAGGTTTAGGATAGGGGCTGAAGGGCAAAATTGGGGGAGGAGCCGGGGCAGGGCCAGATTAATCTTTTGTGGGCCCCCCGCCAAACATATTTGTGGGCCCCCATGGAGGCAATAGAGCATGGCAAGGGGAAGTCAGTCCCCGGAGTGAGAGGCTGGCCAGCGGCAATGGGGCATGGCAGAGTTAGCCCTGCTCCGCCCAGTGTGAGGACACTTCACAAACCGGCAGTTGACCCGGCCCTGTGCTGCCAGCGTGCCCCCTGAACCATGGGGGTGGACCCATGCTGTGCCACACAACCCCAAACGCTCCCCAACTCCCTATGCCCAGAGGCCTCCCCCCCACATAAATGCACAGCGCCCTCCACACCATCACCCCGCCCAGCGCACCCCCACCCTCAGCCCAACCACAACTGCCCAGCAATACACACAGACGCCCCACTTCTTAGCGCTCCAACACTCACACATCTCCTCCATCTCCACTGCCCAGTGTCCTTCCCCACAGCCTCAGCACCACAACTACACAGTGCCCCCCAACAGACCCTCACTGCCAAGCACCCCAAATCACACAAACCTTCCCCACTCCCCAGCACCTCCCACCCCTTCACATCCCAGCATCCCCTTCACGACCCATTACCCCAAGCCCTGCCCCCAGACCCTGCTGAGCCACTGCAGAGCAGGGATCCCCCTCCCAGCACAGTGCTAGGGGGCAGAACAGCTGAAGCTCGGGAGCACAAAGCGGTCCTGTCCCCCAGGGCCCCACCCAGCCCTACCCGCCTGGCATTGGTGCTGCACGTGGCGGATGAGACGTTTCCTTGCATGAGCAGAGTGGGGGGACAGGCACCAACTTCCCCAGGCCATCACTTCTGCAGAGCGGCAGGGAGTGGCAGGCCCCATCCCAGGGAACCCGAAGCGGATGGTCACCAGGCTGGAGTGGCAGTGGCTGAGGGTTCCTCTCCACCCTCGTCTCCGCTGGTGGCTGCCTGCCAATGATGGGGGCAGAGAGGAGCCCTCAGCCAACTGCCAGCTGAGAGGAGCAAGCAGTGGACAGGAGGAAGGGGTCATGGGGTGGGGAGGAGTCAGCGGGCAGGGCCAGGGGGTGGAGGGGAGCCCTGGGCCCGGCAGCCGAGTGGGGCGAACAGTGGCAGGGAGGAGACGGGGGGTGTAGAGGAGCCAGCTGCTCTGGGCGCAGCGCAAGTGAGCGGGCCAGGTCGGGGCCCCTTTTGAGTGTGGACCCAACGCCAAGGCGCCACTGGTGCCATTGTAAATCCAGTACTGCTCAGGGGTGAGGCGCTGCCAGAGGGTGGCAGAGGGCAAAACCCTGGAACAGGGAGCTGCAGAGGGAGTAACAGTTACCTCAATGGGTTAAGCCACCTGCTGTGTTTGCAAAAATAGGGTGGAGGGCAGAGGGGTTTTTTTATTTCTCCTCTCCCAGGACGGTATGTCTCAGCACGGGCTTCGCAGGGCTGGATTCTTAAAGGAACATAAATCCCAGTACCTAGACATAACAGCTCATGCAAGTGTTCTCAAACTTCATTGCACTGCGATCTCCCTTCTGACAATAAAGATGCTACATGACCCCTGGGAGGGGTCGGAGCCCAAGCGCTGCCACCCCAAGTGGGAGAAAAGGGGGCTGCAGCCCAAGCCCCACAGCCCAGGGTGGAGCTCGGGCTTCAGATTCAGATATAACTTACTGATGTGCCATAGAAGACTTGATTCAGTGAAATATTTTACCAACACCCCCAAAAACTCTGTGTCACACATTTTGAGTATTTAAAAGAATCCCTTATCAATTTGTATGTCTACATAAAGTCTCCTAGCAGTTCGCAAATTGGTCTTATCTGCTGCTGTGATTCCCTGAATTGCTTTGCTTCCTTGCAATCCATTTTAAATATGTTTTGTTTTTCAAATGTTATTTTTGTCACTCTTATTACTCTTAGCACTTCATCATTTATCTTTGTTATAATTGTGCAGATGCAGGTCATTGTGCTATTTAACTTATCTTTTAATAGCAAATACTCATTGAAAATATTTATAAGTAAATAATTGCTAGTAGTTTTAGCAATGACATCTTTGTTTCTAGTATAGCACTTGCTATGTTTTTTACTGTGGTTTTTCATTTGGAATTTTTAACTCTAAGTTTTTCCTCTTATTTGTATAGCACAAGTTTATTCCGTTGGATCGTGTAACTTCCAGTCAGACTGATTACCTGGCCTGGTGTCAAAACTTTCTTTTCATTTAATCCACCAGTGAGGATTGCCAGCTGTTATTTTGCCTCTCAGTCCAACCCTTAGAGCTTTTTCACATGTCATTACTTAAGTGTAGAACTTGATTCTCAAATAGTCAATAAGAGCAGCATATGATCTCATATTAAATCCTTCTGAAAGGCAAAAACCTACTGTAATTTTTGCTGAAATAAGAATGGCCATATTGGGACAGACAATGGTCCATCTAGCCCAGTATCCTGTCTTCCGACAATGGCCAATATCAGATGCTTCAGAGAGAATGAACACAAAAGGCAATCATGGAGTGATCTATCCCCTGTCATCCACTCCCAGTATCTGGCAGTCAGAGGTTTAGGGACATCAGGAGCATGGGGTTTCATCCCTGATTATATTGGCTAATAGCCATTGATGGACCTATCCTGAGAAATGTATCTAGTTCTTTTTTGAACCCAGTTATAGTTTTGGCCTTCACAACATAATGAACACACCTCTACAACCCCAAGATACCTTGACAACCACAAGCGTTCAAAATCATGAGTTATACATAAGGCTACATTTTAGTCACAGGTATTTTTAGTAAAAGTCATGGACAGGTCACAGGCAGTAAACAAAAATTCACGGCCCGTGGCCTGTCCATGACTTGTACTTTATACCCTCACTAAATCGGGGGAGTGGGGGGACAGCCCGGGGGTGCTCTGGGGGGAATAGCCTGGGGGGCACCATGGGTGCTCTGGGGGGAGTAGCCCGGGACACCCGCTGGTACTGTGGGAGGGGCGGGTGGGCGGCCTGGAACCCCTGCTAGTGCAGGGAGGGGGGCTGACAGGCTCCCTACTTGGCTCCATGAGGCTCCCTGGAAGCACTGACATGTCCCTCCCTCAGCTCCTAGGTGGAGGTGTGGCCAGGAAGCTCTGCACGCTACCTCTGCCCCGAGCACCATCTCCGCAGCTCCCATTGGCCGGGAACTATGGCCAATGGGAGCTGCGGGGTCAGTGCCTGCGGGCAGAGCCGTGCACAGAGCCATCTGACTGCGCCTCTGCCTAGGAACTGAGGGAGGCATATGACGCTTCCATGAAGCCCCCTGAGGTAAGTGCCACCCAGAGCCCTCACCCCCTCCTGTGCTAAGTTTCCTCTAAGCTGCGCAGCCGCACAGCTGGCTATCAAGGGCTGTGGAGGCGGGGAGAAGCACCTCTCCCGCAGCTGAGCCCACCCACACTCCACCAGAGCTGCTGCAGCTGTGGAAAGGTGCCTCTTCCCTGGCCCAACCCCGAGCTGCTGTGGAGAGAGAGGGCTGCAGGGAGTACTCTCTCCCTGCCGCAGTCCTGGGGTAGCCTGCACCCCAAACCCTTCATCCCCGGTGCCACCCCAGAACCCACACCCCCAGCTGGAGCCCTCACACCCCAACCCTCTACCCCAGCCTTGAGCCCTCTCCAGCCATCCCCTCATCCCTGGCCCCACCCCAGAGCCTGCACCTCCAGCTGGAGCCCTCACCCCCACACACCCCAACCCTCTGCCCCAGCCCTGAGCCCCTTTCACACTCCAAACCTCTCAGCCCCACCCCTGTCACACATCACTTCCATATTGATGCACATAACAAAATTCATTCTGCACATGGATGTAAAAAATTAAAGGGAACACTGCTCCCGTGCCCCTACCCCCAGTCCTTAGCCCCCTGCCACGCCCAAACTCCTGCTCCTGCTGGGGTAGGGGGGTGCAAAATAGCACGTACTTGTACTCACCATACTTAATAATGGACATTGAGTGAACTTGTGCAATTTGAGCATGGCTAACTACATCATTGAACATGGGCCTAAACCACTAACATCTTCTCTCTCATGCTAAATGCTATTAGCAAAACAGGCCATAGCAAATCAAGTGATATATAGTGTACAACTCTGATACAATAATATTAAACCAAGTGTGTGTGTGTATATAAACATTAAGTTGTTGCATTAAATAGAAAAAGAAAGGATTACTAAACATCTGCAGTAACTATAAGAAAAAGTGAAACCCACTTATACTGTCAGCTAGTGTACTCCCTACAAATTTCAGATCCTTCATCTACTGAGAAACTGGAAAATCCACAATGGGACTCTGGAAAACAAAAACTGTGAAACACAAGAGACAAATACATAGGCACAACTGTGGGCCACTCATCCTAAAGGTATTCAATACCAAATTTTCCTGATTATTTATTAATGATGTGTAATTATGATGTGTTTCTAATTAGATGTGTTATTAGTTTGCAGAAATCAATTTACAGCATAAAGACATCGGTACTTTAGAAACCACACAAAAGGCTCTATCTACTTATAGAAGAAAAATAGCAATGCTTTTAATAAAAGAGTCAGGTAATAACTTTGTTACATATACCTAGTGTGCCAATCATATATGGGGAAGATAACAGGAAGAGTGGAATAATGTCACAACACAAGCAATTATCTTCATACACCTGCAGTGGGGTATATCAAGTTTGGTTCTATAATGGTGACTCTGTATGAATAATTTCTTTAAGTAGTGAAAAATGTGGAAAGGGTGAACGGTTGATATTGATAGAGCAATGAAATCTAATTAGATATCGTTATATCCACCAGTAGTAAACAAAAAGTTTGAGAAACATACACTGGGGTACCAAACATAATTTAAAATATGACCGCCAAAAGACATAAATATTTGCAAACCAGTAACTTAATTGATATAAATGACATTAATGACTAAATCAATATATCTGTTTAGAGTTTTGGTCATAATGTAATCATCATTTGAGTAAATTATATTGATTTTTCAGAGAGCATAGAGGAGTACTGCATGTACTGCAACCTTGTCACTTGTGAAAAAGAAAATGAAGATTGCATGATAATAAGAAACACAAAATTGTATTAGAAATATATACCATGTGTTGGAGCAGACAAGTAAGCAGAATATGATGGTTTATAGTACAAGAACAAAAGTCATGACCCAAGATCTAGCCAGTTGCATATAGACTCTATGGAATAATCTGTCCAAGGATTAGGATTCTTGTAATAATTCCACTTTAATAAATATTTCCACTGCTGCTGCTAGTCATATCTTGACTAATGATTATATGTTCAAGGAATATTATTTTATAAATTTTATGAGTTAATTGAAATTATATTTAGCATTATTAGTTCTGTGATTTTCATTTTTTCATCTATTACTTATCAAAGGTCTAGTGTGACTCTTGTAAGAGATGGGCACATGTGCCTTCCTTTCCAGAGGGAACCAATGAGGAAAGCCTATCCGATTAGAAGAAATGGTACAGCTGCACAAAGTGTATATAATTCATAACACCTTTTTCCACCAGAACCTGAGCTCGGCCCACAAGCACCCTTAATCCATTATTCTGGCCCATACAGAAACAACAAAAACAATGGCTAATCAAAGACCTTCCCTTGGTGTTCTTAGCATTGCCAGAACAAACCCACCTAGCCTACCATCATGTGGATACAAAGCCAAGGAAAAAGGTCCCTGAGAATCTACAACCGCTGTGGTGGAAGTTGTGGGAAATTGTCTGCCAAACACTACTGGCTGTGTTGAACCCCAGGGTCGTTGGGGAATCCCCTAGTGCAGACTTTCTTTAATTGGGGGTCCCAACCAAAAATGGGTTGCAAGGCTAGTGTAGGGGGGTTGCAAGTAGGGTTACCATACATCTGGGTTTATCTCTTTTTGGTCCTTCGATCTCCCTCCAGGCAGATTTTGGCAATATGAAAAAATGTCTGTCGTTTTTCCTTGCCTTCAAAGCTGGCAGCAGGAGAGCAGCAGCCACTGGCCGGGAACCCATCTTGTAAGGCTGCATCACTGCCAGTAGTAGTGCAGAAGGAAGGATGGCATAGTATGCTATTGCCACCCTTCCTTCTGTGCTGCTGCTGGCAGCGACTCTGCCTTCCAAGCTGGATGGCCAGAGAACGGAAGCCGCGGGACAGGCACCCAGCTTGGAAGTAAGCAATGCTGCCAGCAGCAGCCCAGCAGGCAGCGTGACATGGTATGGTATTGTCACCCTTCCTTTGGCGCAGCTGCTGGCAGCAATGCTGCCTTCTCAGGTGGGTGGCTGCATGGGAGTGCTGGAAGTGGCCCAGTGAAGCCAAATATAGTTCAGCTGTGTTGCTGACTGACAGTCGGCCAGCGTGTTGCGGCTGGATTCCCCGCTGACCCAGTGGTGGACCACTCCACCACTGTTAGGGTCCTGGGCTGGGACCTGGTGGAGTTGGGCCTGTGTTTTTTGGTGGTCCACCAGAGCCAGGACCCCTGACTGCTGCTCTGCCCTGCCCTGCCCTGCCCTGCCTGAGGGTCTGGGCTTATAGACTTTGCTGCTCTGTCCTGACCACAGGCCAGAACCGCATGTTTGGTGCCCCACCCTGCCTGAAGATCTCGGCTTATAGACTTTGCTGCTCTGTCCTGACCTAAATGCCCTCTAAACTGCATGGCCACCACCTATCAGTCTATCAAGTGCTGTGCACTTCAGATGCCCTTCCCCCCACTGCCATGCTGCTCCTGCCCTCTACCTTGGGTTGGAGCCCCTGGCCAGATGCTCCTGGGAGCCTCCTGCTTGCTGTGCATTGTGTGTGTGTGGGGCGGGGGGGAGGGGAGAAAGCTGATGTCAAGGTGTCCCCCTCCTGCCATCCCCCACCCATATACCCCATCTCCACACAGCGAGGGTGGGGGGACACGACAGGGCTCAGGAGTGGGAGAGAGGGAGGGAGATTGCGGGGGGGGGGGGGCTGCTGCTGTATCTGAACAAGCAGGGCAGCACACTTAAAGGGGCAGTGTGTGTGTGTCTTTCTCTCTTACACACACACACTGTTTGTCTCTCTCTTTCACACACATAAACACACCACTCTCTGTGTGTGTCTCTCTCTTGCTCTCTCTTGCTCTCTCTCACACACACACACCATTGTATGTGTCTCTCTCATACACACACTGTGTGTGTGTCTCTCACACTCATCTCCCAACACACACTTGTATTGTTGTTATTGTTACTTCCTAATAATTCCTGCAATGCACATCTATTCTCTGTAATTTCATTCTTTCAAAGTGCTATTATTTTAGTTTCTGGGTCAGTCTATGCATTTCATAATTTTTATTTCTCTCTTACGCTTAAATTTAATTCTTTGACTAGTGAGTTCTAAAATACCTAACCTGTCCTGGCTGGAATAATTATCCCAATGGTAACTTTTTAAAAATATATTTTATATCTAGGTTTTTTGTTTCTACTGGTGGAGCACATCCACACATACCTTAGAGCACATAACAAAATTCATTCTGCACATGGATAGAAAAAAATAGAGGGAACATTGATCCTGACTAGAGGCCAGAGCCTCCTGACTGTTTGGTGCCCCACCCTGCCTGAGGGACTGGGCTCTGAGGTTACTGACTGTTCTACCCTGCCAAGTGGCAGAGGCCCCAGTGCTAATTCCCCACTGAACTGTGTCCCTCCAGAGGCCTTGTAGGGAGGGGGCATCTTCCTGTGCAGTGAGAGAGAGAGAGAGAGAGTGTATGTGTGCGCAGATAGATCTAACAAAGAGTCATCAATGAGTGAGGGTGTTTCCAATGGAATCCTGCAGGGATTGGTTCTTGGCCCAATGCTAGTCAATATTTTTCAATATTCAGTGACTTGGAAGAAAGTATAAAATAATTACCGACAAAGTTTGCAGATGACAGTGGGGTGGTAAATAATGAGAACAGATCACAGATGTGACATGATCTGATTCGCTTGTCAAACTAGGCACAATCAAAACACATCTTATAATGCAACCAAATGCATGGACACATACCTCTGTGTAATACTCATGAGAAATCAATTTGGCTTATAAATGCTTCATAGCATGTAAATTATGCACTTCTCAAGCTTGAACAGTTGATTGCTGTCATGCTGCTTTGTAAGTAAGTAGAACCATCCTTATGCATTACCAAATTAGTAAGCAGAGAGAATAAAGAATAGCAACTGCCTTCCCAGCACATTATACTACAGCTCCTTGCTACCTGGACACCGGGGCCAGTTTTGACACAATAAACAGTTTTGGAATAAAACTTGCATCAGGTTCCACTGTCGTGTCCAGTAACATCCTGTGCTAAGTGCTTAGGGGAGGAAGCATCACACTTCCTTTTTTCTAAACCTCTGTCTGGAAGTTAAATGGTTCTGATAGAGAGATCTTTAGCCAATAGGGCCTAGGTCCTCAAAGGTATTGAGGCACCCAACTCCCACTGACATAAAGTGGAATAAGGCACTTAGGGTATGTCTACACTACGAAATTAGGTCGAATGTATAGAAGTCAGTTTTTTAGAAATCGTTTTTATATAGTCGATTGTGTGTGTCCCCACACAAAATGCTCTAAGTGCATTAACTCGGCGGAGTGCTTCCACAGTACCGAGGCTAGCGTCGACTTCTGGAGTGTTGCACTGTGGGTAGCTATCTCACAGTTCCCGCAGTCTCTGCCGCCCATTGGAATTCTGGGTTGAGATCCCAACATCTGATGGGGCAAAAAACATTGTCGCTGGTGGTTCTGGGTACATGTCATCAAGCCCTCCCTCCCTCCCTCTGTGAAAGCAACAGCAAACAATCGTTTCACACCTTTTTTCCTGAGTTACCTGTGCAGATGCCATACCACGGCAAGCATGGAGCCCGCTCAGCTCACTGTCACCATATGTCTCCTGGGTGCTGGCAGACACGGTACTGCATTGCTACACAGCAGCAGCAACCCATTGCCTTGTGGCAGCAGATGGTGCAATAGGCCTGAAAACCATCCTCATCATGTCCGAGGTGCTCCTGGCCACCTCGGTAAGGTTGGTCAGGAGCGCCTGGGCAGATATGGGCGCAGGGACTAAATTAGGAGTGACTCAACCAAGTCATTCTCTTTAGTCCTGCAGGCAGTCCTATTGTACCATGTTATGGTGAGCAGGCAGGAGATGAAGATGGCTAGCAGTCCTATTGCACCATCTTCTGCCCAGCAGCCAGGAGATGTGGATGGCTTGCAGTCCTACTGCACTGTCTGCTGCCAGCCGAAGATGTAAAAGATAGATGGAGTGGATCAAAACAAGAAATAGACCAGATTTGTTATGTATTCATTTGCTCCTCCCTTCCTCCGTGAAATCAACAGCCGACAATCGTTTTGGTGAGGTCTGTCAGGGGGACCTTGAAAACTTTAATGGAGATTCAGTCCTGCGTGAAATACCAGAGGGAGGGATAGTTTAGTGGGTTGAGCATTGGCCTGCTAAACCCAGGGTTTTGAGTTCAATCCTTGAGGGGGCCATTCTGTGTGACAGTTGTTTTTGTTTTTCCTTGATGTAAAGCCACCCCCTTTGTTGATTTTAATTCCCTGTAAGCCAACCCTGTAAGCCATGTCATCAGTCACCCCTCCCTCCATCAGAGCAATGGCAGACAATCGTTCCTCGCCTTTTTTCTGTGCAGACGCCATACCACAGCAAGCCCGGAGCCCACTCAGATCACTTTGGCAATTAGGAACTGTCAAGGTTCCTTCCCCACTCTGAACTCAAGGATACAGATGTGGGGACCTGCATGAAAACCCCCTAAGCTTATTTTTACCAGCTTAGGTTAAAACTTCCCCAAGGTACAAACTATTTTACCTTTTGCCCTTAGACTTTTTTTGCTGCATCCACCAAGCATCTAACAAATATATAATCGGGAAAGAGCCTGCTTGGAAATGTCTTTCCCCCCAAAATCCTCCCCAAACCCTACACCCCCTTTCCTGGGAAAGGCTTGATAAAAATCCTCACCAATTTGCATAGGTGAACACAGACCCAAACCCTTGGATCTTAAGAACAAAAAACAATCAGGTTCTTACAGGAAGAATTTTAATGGAAGAAAAAGTAAAAGAATCACCGCTGTAAAATCAGGATGGTACATACCTTACAGGGTAATCAGATTCAAAACATAGAGAATCCCTCTAGGCAAAACCTTAAGTTACAAAAAGACACAAAAACAGGAATCTACATTCCATTCAGCACAGCTTATTTTATCAGCCATTTAAAGAAAACAGAATCTAACGCATATCTAGCTCGATTACTTACTAAGTTCTAAGACTCCATGCCTGTTCTGTCTCCGGCAAAAGCATCACACAGACAGAGAGAACCTTTGTTTCTCCCCCCAGCTTTGAAAAAAGCTTGTCTCC